CTACACGTCGTTCCCTTTCCAAAAATATCCATATTGTAGGGTATTTGACAGTTTTTCTTGAACCGATGGCCGCCATCTTGGATTCCGAAATGGCATCTGACATCGATTTCCGCCCTCTACACGTCATCCCTTTTCCGGTTCCTGTTCTCACATTGCACAGCAACATCTTATATGGACAAGCTTTGGAGACATAACATATTAAGGAAGTTCATGTGCACACTAGCGCCGCGTAGTGTGAGAGTTCTGAACTAATATGACCATCATCCGAAAGGACTTAGTCACCTGAACAACTTTGCTCAAGACAGTAAGCTTCTATATGGCCAGGTTCTCGAGATACAGCTTATACAGGAAATTCACTTGCACACTAGTGCCGCGTAGTGAGCGTGTTCTGAACTAATATGACCATCATCCGAAAGGACTTGGTCACCTGAACAACTTTGCTGAAGACAGTAACTTTCTATATGGCCAGGATCACGAAATACTCTGTGTTGGAAATATGATCAATATATTATAGCGCCCGTCATAAGTAACATAAAAGTGAAGCGCCTCTAGCGGCGTAGTTACCAATTTAACATAACATAACATAACTGCTTGAGAGGGTCATCCTCAACAGGCTTACAGCCAGTACGGTTTCCGAAAAGGCAGACGGTGGAAGCCATCCGCGACGTCATCCAGACGGCAGAGGTGGTTCATCGGAAAAGAAGGGGTATTCGTTACTGCGCGGTGGTAACTCTAGACGTGAAGAACGCATTCAACAGCGCGTGCTGAGGGCGATAGCCCGCTCGCTACACCAACTCCGAGTCCCCGGAGGGCTGAACAAGATTTCGGAAAGCTACTTCCAGAATTGTGTGTTGAAGTATGACACAGAAGATGGCGAAAAATGCGTTAGAGTCACCGCAGGAGTGCCACAAGGCTCCATCCTGGGCCCGGTGTTATGGAACGTCATGTACGATGGAGTGTTGAGGATAAGATTCCCAGTAGGCGTGAAAATTGTTGGTTTTGCCGACGATGTCACGCTGGTAGTCTACGGGGAATCCCTCGAAGAGGTAGAGCTGACAGCGGCTCACTCCGTTAAGCTTGTGGAGCAATGGATGAGATCCAGGAAACTGGAGCTTTCCCACCACAAGAAGTCGTAGTCAACAATCGCATGTCGGTGCAGCATGCGACGTTGACAGTTGGCGAGAGCACAATTAGGTCTGTTCGCTCTCTTAAACTCCTGGGGGTTATGCTCGAGTACGCCTGCACGAGAGCGTCTACGGCTGTGGAGGCATTATCCCGCAGGATGTCAAATAGCTCGGCGGTGAGTGCCAGTAAGCGCAGGCTCCTCGCCGGGGTCGTAGTATCTATCCTCAGATACGGAGGCCCTGCGTGGGCTGCGGTACTGGATACTGACTACCACAGGCGGAAATTAGAGAGTACAAATAGGCTAATGTGCTTGAGGGTGGCCAGTGCATACCGCATCATCTCGAGGGAGGCCGTCTGTGTCATAGCAGGGATGATGCCAATCGGCTTCATCATTAAGGAGGATGTGAAGTGCTATGACACAAGGAGCGTTAGAGGGGTGCGCAACAACGCGCGCGCGGTATCGATTGCCCGACCAGAGCGTTAGAGTACGGCTAGAGGAGCGTTATAGCGTACAGGCCCCTCCCACGAAGTAATGCCTTCGGGCGGTTCCGGGGAGGTCTAGGGCCAAGGGCACAGGTAGTGTTTAGTGGGTCGGGAGTGCAATTCTCCCATCCCCACACCCTGAGTTACTTTCTCAGGTGTTTGTGAGCAGATTCTCCTCTGTATTAAAAAAAAATTGCACCATGCATACGCCCTCCAGTTAGTATCAAAAAGTACAGTGAAGGAAACATTTATTCATACAAACATGCCGTCATTACCGAGCATGGAAAAATGGATACCTAACATAATATCTTTCGATCGGTTTTCCACGTTGGTGCGCGTTGGTCATGTCCACGTTAGATTCCTGGATTGTTTCTACGCTGGATTCTCTTGGCTCATTACTTGGCCATCATCGGACTGCTCCTAGCTCATCACTTCTATGGCGTATCGGTTGTTATTGTCGATCGATGCAGCACATTGGCATGGTCGCTTGGGCACGTCTTTTCGTAACGTATTTATTTATATTATTTAAAAGTTGATGAGAACTGACGACATGGAAGCAATTTTAACTTTTATGTTCGAAAAACGTCAGGCACGCAGGAGATATACTCGCCTCGCACACCAGTGCGTATGTCAAGGCCCAGCTCCACAGAGAGTTTCGACACGCTTTACTTTTCCGTTATTTCCCAGCACCATCTAGATCGAAATTCAGGACTTAATGTAATCATCACCCTCACAATGATTAACTTCCGCAGAAATTAGCCCTTTCAAAAACTACACTCCCACCCAAGTGATTGATCGTTGAGCACCGCTTGAATGTTGCGATGTTCGGACTAAGCAAGAGCCTACTCCAAAATAGAAAGCTGAAAGTGCTGGGTGTGGGAAGGGGGGCGGGGAGTACGGAATGTCATTCTGATGTTTTTTTGTTTTCGTTTCGTAGACTCAAGAATAGCCATTTTTCACGCCATCGCCATTGGTGTGCGAGAGTGTGGAAATGAGCTCCATTATTACCTCTCCAGATTGAGGGTTTGGGTAGGTTCTTGAACTGCCGGGCGTCGAGGGCAAGACACAAACAAGCAAAGAAGAAATAAATCCAATGCGATTTATTTAATTAATTCTTCATATTTTTTCGGGGCACACGGAACACGAAAAGGGAAAGTTATGGCACGACGGACGACGGCGACGGTAAGGTTGGATGGAGATTGTAGTTCGTACCGAAATTGCCAAAAGTCACGACAACGATTCGCGCATTGTATTAGTTTGAATTATTTCTCCTCTGAGAACATTACAGTCTCGCAAAGTGTGGAAACGAATGGGGCTCGAGAAGACGAGTGACGTTGTTAGCGCTGAGCAGTGGAGCGAAATGAGTGTGGATTCTCAAGGCCACGATTAGCCTTCCCAAGCGAGAAAGACGACCTAATGGCGCTAGATGGGAACAGAGCCTTGGAAAAACGTTGGTCAACACCTACGGAATGTTAATGGTCTGTGGTGCACTAAATGGAAAAACGTTTAGATTCCATTCTGGCAATTAATCAAAATTCCGATATATAATCGGTGATTAATGGCGACTTTATGTCTCTGGCCGGGATTTTGATGAAGTTCGAGGTAGTATTAGATTATTGCTGAAAAGAAAATTGAGCAATTCCTGAAAAATAACAGCTATACATCACAGTTCAAAATGTGTAGCAAAGCTTGTGTCCGGACTGTTAGCTTTGCTACCATTCTTCATATTATCCAGTATTTTGCATTTCATGGCAAAGTGAGTGCCAACATACCAAACATTGACTCCATTTTACTTGTAAAACTTAAGGGTCGGATAATATAAACATCACAACGAGACGAAATTATAATTTATGTACTTCTTAAGTGCATTCCAGTGGTCTTCGAAGACGTTTGAATTAGAGCTGGGACTTCAACTATCCGGATACTTCAGTTTTTTTTCAATAAAATTTCTTTCAGGTAAATAGAATATCATTCAATTGATATAGAGTATACAGAATATGATGCTTTCTAGTGCCCAATATGGAAATAAAATAAGTTGATAAAACGTTGCGATGGTTATCAGGCGGATAGTAACTATCCGGATATCCGGGTAGTGAAATTTCAAATTTATTGTCCTTTTAACAGTTTCTTTTACTGCTCTAAATATTTGTCAAAAAGTTGGGTTTTAGGTGCCCATGTGACCTGATGTGAAATGGCAGATCTGTTAATAGCCAAAATTTAATAAAATTTAAAAATAAAAATATCCGGGTAATCTGAGTCCCAGCTCTAGTTTGAATCTTAACAAAAGGTTTCAGCCAATACATGGCATTCACCCTATGGCCAATTTGAAATGAAAACTTGAATTAACGAAGTTCAAAAGTTCCGTGCGAAGAGCATGAAAATCGGTAGTGGTTATCACAATAGGGGGAACCTTTTCCGTCTTGGCATTAAGCCGGGAAGTTTAGTGGAATTTTGCCTGGATGATGGATCATTCTTTTATTGCTGTTATTGCTCGAATAAATTTCATCACAAAGGGGATCAAAAGATTACCCAATTCTTTTGCGTTTAGGCCCCATGGCGGCAGAACAAAATTCCTCCAAATCGACTTCCAAGCAGATTACTAAAAGGATCGGAGAGGAATTTTCCAAACCGATATCCAAGCAGGATTACCTCGGGTAGGGTAAAAAACAAGGTAGAACCAAAACTATTCACAGGAGGCCATGTCCTCATGACAACGCGAACAGCATCACAAAACAATAATAAGACAAATCAAAGTTGACACGGACACGGCGGACACATGATATTTTTTGATAGTGCTGGAATAAGGGCGTAACAGCTTTTGTAAACAATGACTTCTCTCGATGATTTCTCAAAACTCAAGGCACGCCCACGCAAACCAACATAACCAACGGGAAGTCTTCCCCTACCCGATGGTGACGTTGATTTGAGTGGGCGAGCATTGGCTTTCTAGAAATCATCGTGAGAAGTCATTGTTTACAAAAGCTGTTACGCCCTAATTCCAGCACTATCTAGATTTAAAGTTACTGGAAACACTGTACTATATCCGCGCCTGCTCTGTGCATGTGTCAAAATGATAACCATTGTTAGTGACACTATCCGATTTTTGATTTCATAACTTCAACCGTGAATTTCCTCACAGCGAACATAATGTCAAAACATTAGGATGAGCGAGGTCATCAAGTCGATGACCTTTGCCAAGTACAACAGTAATCTGGGTGTCTTACTAGAATTCTTCCGGATGACACTGGGGTCGCTACCGGAAGTCTTCGAGACCGGAGAACCTCCACTCAAGACGATCGAACTGTCCGAGGAACTGGTACGGCAGGTCTTGGTGTTTCAGAACAATTTGATCGAAGTTGGGAAGGGCATCGTTCCGGAAGCTGATTGAAAAGATGACCATGAAGGGACCGCTACTGGTCATAATGCCGATTCAGAATGTGATTAGTGAGTCAATTAGTGGGGAGAGCGAAACCCTGAAAAAGGAAGTGAAAGGAACGTTGAAGATGGTGGCAGCTGCGTACCAGCCTTTACATGATTACCTATCATGAGGCAAAGTTTCATCCAAAGCCATTTTTTTAATCGACTTGAAATTTTAAAAATTGATTTTTTTTTCAGTGTAGGTTTCAAATGGATTTTTTTCAGTATTTTTTTTTAAACTTGGACAGTTTCCTAAAAGTCATCCATACAACACATTTTTGTAGGAGTTGTCATTTTGCCATAATATATTTTGAAAAAAAATCGACAGAAAAAGTTTGGCCCTTCTCAAATGTTAGTCTAGATAAATTTTGTAAAAACTGAGTATACAAAAGTGCTTATAGAGATTTTCACGTCCGCTGTCTGCATTTCGTATGCACTTCACGTGACTATAGCATCTGTGCGACCTCGCGAAAATACCTTCAAGGTACTACTCTCGAACTTCCCAAAGCGACCGTCGTTCGAAGATCTGCACTTGTTTATGCATCATACTCTCGGGTTGCGACTCGACCAAATATTGCGACTCCAGATGAACCATGCACAAAATTGTGTGCATGTCAAATGTCCTGACCTGAAAACAGCCCAGCTGGAGGTGAACAAGAAGAAATACAAAGTGCGACTTCAGATGGACGATGGGGGAGTGGAAATTAAAATCCATGACGTGTCTGAGAATGTGACGAAAGACGAAATGCTTGCTGCCTTGAAGCAGTACGGTGATGCAGTGAGTGCAAAGGAGCTAACCTGGAGTGATGGCTTTGCATGCAAAGGGATCCCTTCAGGAGTTTGGGTCCTCAAAATGAACTTACGACGACACATCAAGTCATTTATTAACATCCAAGGCGAGCAATCACTGGTGACCTACCGGAACCAGCCTCAAACGTGTCGACATTGTATGAATTTGTCGCATCCAGACAGTACATGTGTGGAAAATAAAAAAAAAACTAATTGGACAAAAGGTTAACCTTGACAGTCGTTTGAAGCGAGCACAAGCTTCCAATGGTCCAGGTCCAACCTCTCAAGCAGCAAAGACTGGTTCAGCAGCTATCAGTTTTGCAGCTATATTGAACAATGCAGCTCCACTTGTTCCAACACCACCGTTTATGCGTGACAATACGTTCCAGACTCAAAGCCTAAAAAACATCTCTGGCCCGCCGGCTACCCTTCCCCTCCACACCCTCGACCGGTAGCACAATCCTTGCAACAGCTACTACTGTAGGCACTGTGGGCGAAATCCAGATCGACCACGAAATGGATCAAAGCGGAATAGGAAAAAGTTGGAAGGGTTATATACTAGATACGACCGCAGGGTTAGCGTTGGATAACGTCTGTTATGTGCTGTACTTAATTGTGTATATTATATTTTAGGAATATTCCTTAATAACTCTTTTGCGAAAGTTTGGTGGCCCTGAAAAGGGCCGTTTTGTTGGGCTGATGTTGTTGACAATGATGGAACGGGTGACCTTGTTGGACGCTTATATAGTAGAACAGAAAATATCAGAGGTGTCAGATACTCGCATCTGATGTCTCGGTTGGAGAAAGTAAAGAATATAAAAAAATCAATTCGATTTTCACCATCTTTAGACAATGGTTTACTTTTAACCATTTTTCAATAGTTTACAGAATGAAATCAATAGTTTTGAAACATTCAACAAATTGCTAGAAATATTTCCAATCGATTGATGCCATTATCTCGTAAATCTATCGAGAGACGGTTGAGTTATTATCGTTCAAAATCTTTTAATTTTTCGTAACGCATCCAAAATGACTGTTTTCAATTTTGTACCCCCGTATGTTGCCGAAAGACGTTATCCAACGTCAAAACCACAACCAACGTTGCAACAGCAAAACAACTAGAAGAGACGACGACTGGAGAACGTTCCACTGAAGGCAATATCATGGGCTCTGCTACATAAATTGTAGTTTTGTTCCGAAAATACCCATGATGTAGGGTATTTGGCAGTTTTTTTTTCCGAAACTGAGAGCCACCATCTTGGATTTCAAAAATGGTATTGGACATCGATTTTCGACATCATACACGCGTCCTGTACCGAAAATATCTATATCGTAGAATTTGACAGCTTTTCAGAAAACAACGGCCGCCATCTTGGATTCCAAAATGGCATCAGACATCAATTTTCGGGATGTACACGTCGACCCAGTTCCGAAAATATCCATATTATAGGGTATTTGACAGTTTTTCTGAAGTCACTTGCCACCATCTTGGATTCAAAACTGGCGTCAGACCTCGATTTTCGGGATGTACGCGTAGTACTTGTTCCGAAAATACCCAAATTTGATAGTTTTTCTGAATCTGAGAGCCGCCATATTGGATTACAAAATAGTGTCAGACATATATTTTCTTCGAACACGTTCCGTAAATACCCATACATATTGTAGAGTATATGACAGTTTTTCAGAATCTGAGAGCCACCATGTTGGATTAAACAATGGCATCGGACATCGGTTTTCGGTCTCAAGGGTATTGAAGGGTATTTAGCAGTATTTCCCACTTTTTCTGAAATTGGAAGCCGCCATCTTAGATTTCAAGATGGCGCTGGACATCGATTTTCGGTCTCTGGACGTCATCCCGATTCCGAAAATATACATATTGAAGTATATTTGGCAGTATTTCCCACTTTTTTTGAAATTGCAAGCCGCCATCTTAGATTTCAAGATGGCACTGGATATCGATATTTGGTCTCTAGAGGTCATCCCGATTCCAAAAATATACATATTGAAGGGTATTTGGTAGTATTTCCCACTTTTTCTTAAATCGGCAGCCGCCATCTTTGATTTCCAAATGGCGCTGGACATCGATTTTCGGTCTCTAGACGTCATCCCGATTCCGAAAATATACATATTGAAGGGTATTTGGCAGTATTTCCCACTTTTTTAAAAACCGGACGCCGCCATCTTGGATTCCAAACATCGATTTTCGGCAGCTTTCAGTTGTGTCCGTTCCAAAAATACCCATCACTGCAAACACGAAGTTCAGCGCCAAGATTCAAGCTACTTCGAGTCAGAGGTGAAATCACGTCAAAACAACACAATTCCAGTTATTTCTATCGAGTGTCGAGCAGGCTCTGACGGACAAAAGGTATGTCTCCGGTGTGGATACCAACTAGTTGAACATGTGCTACCCGGCAATTATCCAATCGGGTGGCAATTACAGCTTGAAGTTCATTGCGTTCAGCGACAAGAACTATCTGTACTTGGGATCGATCATATGTGCTCTGGATGCGCGAAACAAGTCCTACTGCTCCAATGTCGTCCGAACGTTGCCGGTCAATCCGACAGAAACGATTCAGAAGCACTACACCTTGCTGCTCAATCTGGAAGAGGAACTGCTGAAGGTGATAACTCCGGTCAAGAAACTCTCGGAGGTTTTCGACGTCGGAATGGATTATGCCCAGAAGAAGGATAAAAGCAAAGTTTTGCCAATCGAGTTGGATTTCCGGGAGAATTCGTTGTAAGTTAATTAGGTTGAGTGGAAGCAAACAATTCCGTGTTATTGTGCCGGGAAAAGTAGTTCCGACTTGTAACGACCCTACTTTTCAGCAGCTATTCACCAGCACTCGTACGATTGGTCATCTACCAAACAAAACTCACTTGAACAATACCGAACTACTTTTCACGGCACAATCACACAAATTTGTTAATGCTTCCCTAATCAACCTAGTTAACTTACAAAATCTAAAACCATTTATTCCACCTCGTATAGGATGACACATATCCGAAAATAAAACTACTCTTTTACTTACTGGTACACTCCATTTGCGTAGCAGCTGAAAGACATGTGACCAGCATCGATAGCAATCGACAGCCCTCGGAAGCCTACATTTTGAATTTAAATGTGAACCGAGAAGTGAATTGCTGGTCTGAGTTCCTCTATTATATTCAATTAGAGTATGTTTCTGAAATACACAGTCAAACAGCACGTAATGTTGTGAACAACTTCAATGACAGCTGACCAGCGGTGCTCCGATTTTATTTAATAAACAATCCAATGCCTACGAGAATGTGCCAAAGATGTGCTGATGGATGTGCCCAAGCTGTGCCGAATCAACTTGCAGCACACTGTGCTGAGTGACTTACCCCTTGATATTTTTTTCCTTAAACGTGTCCTTGTTACTCTAAAACATTTAAATCAAATGCATGCTATTAGGGACAAACAGATGTCTTTGATATCTGCAGAATCTCCCAAATTAGGTCAGGATATGAGGTTTCAGAATCATCCAGTTGTGATAAGTTATGGCAAATATGCCGAAACGTATCTTAAAAGAATTTATTTTGACTCGATCTTAATTTTATTACATATAAAAAAATGAATTAATAACATGTCATTGTGGCAGTAATCAAACGTCATGATAACCTGAGTTTTGTCAGGTAAATTACGGTAAATATTTACACACCGGTTGCACCAAAGAATAATTGTATCGATGGAGTTTTCCGTTTTATCACATCCACACTTAAGCCCGTTAATTGATTCTTAATGATTTATTACCGAAACAATTGAAAATGTCTACTTAGCTCAACATCAAGAGCATGGCTTGCCTGGATGCATTTTTATAAATATTTCGCCACCGCTCATGTCAAATCAAGGGGCACTCATTAGCACTCAGGCCAACAGAATTTGTTTGACAATCTTGAAGTTTCTAAACGCAACAGTTCAACTCTCAAAATCTTAAATCAAGATTGAATCACGCCTGTAACATCCGATGCAAATTCCCATTCAATTGATTCCAAATCGGAGTATTCATCAGCCATCCATTTCATTACGCTCGACAAATCACCCTCCACAGCGCCACAAACATCATCCCATATTTACGACCCGTCAGAGTGTGTCAAGCAAACTGTTTGTCAACTTGCGTTTTTCACACCCCCCGTCCATCCCCACATCATGAAATTCATCCCACCCACAATCTTCATCCCACGTCCGCAACCGTTCGCTTTTGTGCACCAGCTTATCACCCATCTTAGCTCGCCGGAGAATATGAGTCAAAGCTTCAAAGCAGACACCGACCGCCACCCAGTCATCCAGTCACCCCCTCCCCCCTGCCACACCAGGTTGACTGACGACTTTTTTGCCACGAGAAGATCAGAATGTAGGTATCTCCTGCGCCAGAAGACACCAGGCTAAGCTTTTTCAACCTTACCGAATAAGCAACGAAACGAGACGCTTTTTCACACCTTAATGGCTGATCGGGAGATAACATTCACTTAGCTGTGCTCCAGTTAATTGCTTATTTATCACCGGCTAAGAATCTGCGAATCAACCCCATCAGCTTTTCCAGGTGTTTAAACTTTCAAGAGCCCTTGAGAGAAGATGCTTCTTAGTAACAGGGCGACGGTGTAAATGAAGCATCTGCAAACCTCCTTTTGGCTTCTTACGCTCTGCTTATCGGGAAAGCCAAAGACGGGTGATGGCCTCGCAAGAACCTCACTCGGTGTAAGACCCGGGCGGTGAGCGGGGTCAAATCTGTCACCGACAAAGATTTTATAATTTTCACATTTTCACCTGGACAACGTTTATCGCCCAGTCCGGGTGAGTGGCCTTGAAGTTCAGGTGAGTTCTTCTGTCGAGAGAGGGGTGATGTAAGTCTAGCTAGTGTCCTCTAGTTGGATCATGAGCGTGTTCAGTTTTACGCTGGTATCTAAATCGAGTATTTCCATTATTTGCTATTGGACTCCAATCATTTGAAATATTTACCGTATTATTGCGATCAATTTGGAAATTGTTTAAAGAAGGATGAAGCATTTTGCTGATTGTGCTACTGGGTTGCCAAAATCAGACGTATAGCCATATTCCATTTTCATTTTGGTTTGAAACGTGTGTTCCCTGGATTTCTTGACCACTGGATCACCACAGCAATTTAAGCCCTCATAGGGTGTCCCATAAAGTATAAACATAGTTTATTATTAGAAAAAAAAACACCGTTATATTAATGAACTCAAATTTTTAATTCATATATATATGTTCTTTAAAGTACTCCCTTTCAATCGGATGAAAATAATCCGCAGTTTCTTTAATCGTATTCCAAGGAGCGATCTTTTGATCTGACGCTGCCAATGAGCTTCAACATAGATTCCTTGGCGATAATTTTGGCCTCTTTTGTCTAGCCTTTTCAAAATTCTTCGATTGAATTCACTGTATAAAAGTGGTTCCATAGATATCCCTTGGAATGAGTCCAAAAAGTTTCAATTGACCGGGCTTCCGGACAATTCGGAGGATTCATCTTTTTTTATACGTATTGCACATTGTTTGCTCTGTACGAATCTACGGTGTCTTTCGAGTAGTGCATTAACACCAAATCGGACCAACATAGTACTGCGCCATCAAGTTGACGGATTATGGGGCCATCATGTTCATCGTCTCCAAGGGGTATTCAACTCTGCACATCTTAATGCGTGCCGAGAAATTAAGTTGTGCTGGAAGCTGTGCCGAACGTTTCGAAGTGTGCTAATTATTACATCATGGGATATGAGTTTGGCAACCCTGAAAGTCATCCATCCTGTACCTACAAATTCAATCAGTTCACAAGATTTTGGCCGATGTCCCTTTGAATTGCTAATTCCTTGCGGATATGCAAAACCAAAGACGTAACTTGATCGATGGTAGACGAAATTGCCACCTCCTCAACTAAAGCAAACCCAAAATAAAAACAGGTGTTCAATTCCACATTCCACCCTAAAGCTGGGTTTAGACTAGGCAAGTCAAATGATCAACTCAGTTGAATTCAATTGACAGGAAAAGTTGAGCCTGGTTCAACTTTTCAAGAGCAACATCCTCGATCCAGTTTTGCTGATCGAGTTGGAAGTATGTGTCGATGAGTATTACGCCTAATACCTGAACCACCAACCATTCCAGCCTACCAAACTATCAAGTTCACGGAGTGTACCTTACGCAATGTAACACCAATGTAAACCAATGGCCAATGTGTCACAGATCTGAAATACTTCGGACATGGGGCAGTTACCTTCGACGGAAGTGCTTTATCCATTATAGGACTGCATAGAACTCGAGAAGTTTCCGCCCAGGTCACACATATCACAAACTTAACCAGTGAGGACGCTTCGTGATTCAAGAGCTACAAGAAACGGCCTAGTAAATTATAAACTTGCTCCGTCGGTATACCTTCGGTTGTTTTGTATTTTATACGGAGAGATAAACGAAGACCATGAAATCAACGCTTTGACTAGTCAGTGTGGTCTCAGAGTTATCCCAGCAAGGAAATGAATAAATCCATTCCAGAAGATCCTGCGCAAGATTGGCATCTGAATCTGGTGCCCAATTCTATGTTAACCTTTATTTAATTTATTGTTTATTATATAACAACAAAACTGTATGTTGTTCAACTCTTGAAGATCCTGCTTTGATTTGTCGTTGTACGCTTCGAGATCGGATACACACGACAGGATATCCTATAATTCGGACGGATAATAACAAAATATAAGTGTTCCGTCATCCCCGGTATAGTGGAAATAGTCCTATTATTGCGGTACGTTAGAAGCGTTAGAAGCCTAACTTACCGCAATAATAGGACTGTTTCCCCTATAGGATCCATTTCTTTTCTTGGTATTGTTTGCGTTTCCTAACGGATTAATCATCAAAGGCAACGGGCGGACGGGCACAGGCGAATTCTCGGACGAATCCGTGTTGGTCGGTTTGGCCAGCTTCTAATTTCCAATGTAGTCGGTATGTACGAGCAATTTACGATGATACGAGATCAGACTTCCTCAAAGTTTTCTCCTCATGTGGAACAATTTTTATTACGTTCAGAGAATTTTCGTCCCTACAGGGATTTGCCTCTGATGATTAATCCGTTGCCTTTGATGATTAATCCGCTAGGAAACGCAAACAAAATCAAGAAAAGAAATGGATTGCGAACGTGCATAAACTGACGTTGAATGTCTACCGAATTGTTTTTGATTTCCATGGACACGAGACACGTCTGCACCTTAGGAAACGATTTCACCGATCGCATTTCAAACCGTACCATCGTCCAATACGATCAGATCTACCAAGCATTTTACCAACCATCGCTGTAGATAACCCGATTCAGCCGTATTGGCTGCCGTATCGATAAAACCCTCTCGTCCGGCCATGATGTGGAAGAAGGACTCGGTAGGTGTGAGGCCCGAATTGAAGCTGTTTTGAATGAGACCCGCTAGCATTTTTGCTGTGAATCGGATGAGTTGATTTGAATTTTGATAGTTGAACGATCCTTGAACCCGTTGGGCATCCGTTTTCCATTTTTAAACCCTTGGTTAAATCGCACACCAACATTTCTTTTTTTCTAACACACTAGGTTCACTTCGAGGTAAACAAAGTAGTCAACCTTAGCAACGATTGGCAAAACGACAACACTCAACAGTGTTGCCACAGACAAACAGACATAACACATTGAATATTTCGCATTGTAAAACATCGTCGCTAAAACATTACCGCCATCTGTTGAGGACACTGTGGTGGGTAGTACGCTGAACAGATGGTGGTAGTGTGTAAACGTCAAATACTATGCGCACCACAGGTGGCAGTACTACCAACTGAGATATTTCTAATCTAATCTAATCTAATCTAACACCAACACAGCCAGTTCATGAAAGCATCCTGGAAAATGATAGATATACCTCCATCCTTTTTCTTGTCTATTTGGTATATTTTGTACATCAGAGATGCGCAAAATATATCAAAACGGCCAGGCCTACTGTGCAGCATTTAAGGGGCAAGATGATTCAGAAATATCGGGCCTGTTTTAATCAAAGATTTAAACACGATGCTTCAGAATCCAATAAATGGATGAAACGTGGACATCTCGTACCGTACGTTCCGTTGTTATAAATGATTGGTCGTTGGGAGCATCTAATCTAAAAAAGTTAAATGATGCTCCATTTTCCTCGAGTGGTTGGGACATGAGCACTAACTCTTGTCTTAGCCCTATATGGCTTATGGTTATAGCGCCATTACTCGCTTTCTGAAAAGAGAAAAATCGAATAAAAGGCCGTAGGAGAATGGAAAAGAAGGAAGGAACCCTAGTTCTATCTTCCCTTGTGTAAAAACTGAAAAAAAGGTCTCTAATCAATCTACAGGAAAAGTTCGCTAAAACTCACAATGACTCGCGAACTTTTGTGCGGCACATATCACCCGCGTAAAAAGCGACTCCAGTGTATTCTTACTGGCCTGCTGCACTACTGTTGAACCAAAGGCACTTCCAAGACTTTTCCAAACTTTTTTGAATTAGTTTGGAAATATCCAAACTAATTCAAAAATTCTTCAGGCAAATCATGATAAAAAAATGGAACCTTAAGGTACAAAACATCAAACGTTTAAAACCAGAAAAAACGCACTAGGACGACTCTCTTGCGGAATAAACCAATTGGCAAATCTATATTGGAACTTTGCCATACCCACTAGACTGATGCAAAATTCGTCCTGAATCAGGTCCTGATTAGCCTCCCAAAGTTACAAGTCATTAAGTTAGAAACAGACTTCGGACAAGCCATTGAAAGTTTATATGTAAATTACTATGGGAAGTCTCAACTTTTTGTTCATTGCCTTTTAGTCTTTTTCCATATTGAGCTGCGAAACAGTTCGATAGCCATTCTTATAGAAAATTTTCTCAGCTACAACTTTGCTGAAGATCGTTTCTATGTAAAACGAGACAGGAAAAAGTTATTAATTATTTAAGTGATTGGTAAACTTATGCCATGATCAAGCAGCTGCTCTGTAGGCAACACTGTATTTCGCAGTGTGACATAGTAGCCATGATTTTTGTGTCCTATTCAACGCCCCAGAAACACCAATGTTGCCTGCTGAGCAGTTGATTGAGCATGATCATTAGACATCAGCGCATTGAACCATTGATAACTTTGGGATTCTTGCTTTTAATCAAAAAGTGGTCTTGAGCAAAGTTGTAGCTGGGAAAATTTCCTAGAAGTATAGTTGAAAGCTTTCGAAGCAGACCAAAATGGTGAATTATTAGATAGACATGAACAAAAATCTTGGTTTCACCATAGTAATTCCCATACAAACTTCAAATGGTTTGTGCCATCTCAGTTTCTCACCAAATGGGTTCAAATTTTGAGAGGTTAGTCAGGATCTGATTTGGAATCGTTTAGGTATTGTGGAGCGAAAATTTCAAATTTTGCATCACTCTAATACCCACTCGTTCCCAACCTTTGAAAATAGCGCACTCGACATTTGATTTCTCATCAAAATACAGCAAGAAAGCGGCTATTCAAAATGATGTCTTAGACAAAGTTGTAGAAACCGAAACAGGTGAATAAAATAAACAGGAACGAACTCACCAAATGAACGATGGTTTGCCCTTGAAGCAAAAACTTGGAAGACTGTTGCATCTCCTAGTTCTAGCTCAACACTTCAAACCATTCCATCGGATCTTCAAAAAAAACTCTTGCACAATCCGTCTCCAATCCTATTAAAATCATCGAGCCAACTTGCCAAATAACAGTTCTGACGAAAAGGATGCTGATAAAAAACACATTGAAATGCATTTTACCCGATCACTTGCACTTGCTTTGCACTAAAGTTCTTTTCTAGAACTATGTTATCGAGTGGCACATTGTTTCGGGCTAAAACGCGATGAAAAAAATCAATGAGAGAAAAAATTAAGCCTAAAATTTGAAACTCGGAAATTTTTCACGTCTTTACAGAAGCAGAGCACACTTCGATCTCCGTACTACCAACTGAGATATTTTTAAATTTACCGTTAAATGCTTGTTAATGCAACTTACAGTTAAATGCTTGTTCGATGAGCAACTTGCGAGTGTCTGTTTGTCTGTGGTGATGCCGTTTTGTGTTATATTATGTTTGTCCTACTTGTCAGTGTGTGCCAAACTGTACACTGAACCAAATCATGATCCTTTGATCGAATGATTATTGCTTCACCCAAGCCCTATTACCAACAATCAATACGAAACTAACGATTTTAAATTGGCTCACTACTTGAATAGCCTATTGGTCCCAAGCAAATCGATTAACGTACCCCGTTATAGTCAAAATTCTAGAACTACACAATGTTTGTTTTGATTCGCTATGAAAGTTTAACGGATAAAATGAGGGGCTAGTGGATTATTCTATGTTTCGAGGGGTGAATCGATTAGCTTGGGACCGAAGATAGTACCAGAGCTGAGCCAAAAAGTTGAGCACGTTTCTTCGGGACCTACTAGTCTTAGAGTTACCTCTATGCTATTACTATTATAAGATGATTTTGAGATCATCGTCATTCAATTCATCATCGGTTAAAACCACAACAACTTGGATGCATATCATCCTAATCTAGGATGGTTTTTGTTCAATGTTTAAGAGCATAGGTGGACGTAAATTAAATTAATATAATAAGTTAATTAAATTCTCTTCTTATTTATATTGAGTGCTTGTTGTAGCTATGTTGTCTGTTGAAAATTGGTAATATTTTAAGTATTACAATGCTTTATTTTTATGTAATTATAAGTAAAGTCGATCTATGCACCTATGTACCTCGAGCTAAGTAGTTCATACGAAGGTCTCAACAGCTCCGAGAGCATCTCGTAACTGGAGTAAGCATTGGATGTAATTCCTGTTCGCGATCGGCTTCGATCCAGTTCCGCTCCGTTCCCGCGGGTCGTGGTCCCCGTCGTTATCGTTGATCTTGATTATCAAACACCGATCCCGTCTGTAGTGTCTCTAGAAAACTGTTCGTGACACCTTCCCGCGTCCGAACGGCATAGTTGTAGAGCAACTTTCGTTGCGACCGTTCCTGCACCTCCTGCTAGGAACGTTGCTCGGCCTCCAGTGTTTGGCGTCTTTACGAAAGCGGTTCTGAAAACTTGTTTTTGTCCACAATTATGTGGCGAATAATCATATGCACTGCACTGTGGTGTAATTATCTTAAATTGAACCATATTAATTAATTCAATATATACCGAAACTAATCTGAAACTTACCCATCGTTGAAGATAACAGCCTACAGAAACTCAAAACACAATTTGAAAAATTAAAGTCACGTGTTTTTTAACATGTCTGTCAGATACTTCGCTGTCGACTTTTTACATTTTCAATTACATTTTTCATACACCAAGAATTCATTAGGAAAATTAATGATTTTCGTTATGAGCCTTCGATGATACATTTATCTCTCAGACTTGAGATTATGTTCGTTTGGTTTGGTACATTCCGGAAACAATATTTAATTCATACAAGTTGTATGTCCATTATCATCTGCTTTTAAAATGATTTTCACTTTATTGGCATTTGTTAACACACCGTATGACGAATCATTCGATATATGGCAGATCTTTTCTTTCAGTGTACCGATCAGTGTGGCATACTGTGTTTTGTCACAGTGTGCAGAGTTGATGACCCCTTGATCGTCTCCTTCGTCACAAATAGCTTTGACAACTTGCCACACTCACATATCGCTTGCCAAACCATGGCCTTCGTACCAAATTTTTCGGTAAACATTGAATTTTTTTCCCTTGATTTGTTTTCGTTCCTTCCTGTTTTCCGTGCTGAGCAGCAATGCTACCAACGCCAGGGAGGCAGCTCCCACACCTGGACCTGATTGAACCAAGGACTGCTGGGGTGAGAGGTAATCACGCTTTTGACTTATCGGCATCAGCAACGTCCTGACCATCACGGACTGTGTAGTATTGGTCTCCAGGAAGCGTCTTGTAGTCAAATTTGGCGTATGTTTCATCGTCCATGATAACACACGCCAATCTTCCACACAGAAGGCTATCATATAGCTTCCGTTTTGACTTCTTGAACGTTTGGGCGTTAAGCTAAGGGCTAAGGGAGGCCCTGCGGTGCATAAATTAATCAGGAAAGGTACAAAATGTCCACCCTCATCACTCTTTTGAGGGTTCCCCTATTCACCGCCAGAGGCTGAAACAATCGCTTAGTTTCTATTGGATTCGCCTATAGTACAAATTAATGCCAACAACAACTTCTCAACATGTAACCTTCTGTATTTGCTAAATTGACAGTAAGATTGTGGAGAGACCAATTAAACAGACCATAATCCGTTTCTTACAGCGGGCATTTTGAAAATTGACATTTATCAAAAATACAAAGCTCTAAACAATCATCGCTTTCACCCCACGCACACACCTGTGACATCACCATCGGCTATTATTTCTATCCTCAGA